TGGAGAGAAGATGAAAGAACACACATTACAGGACACACAAGACACCATACAATACATGATCAAAAAAATATTCGCTAAGAAAGTAGTAAGGCTTCAAGAACTCACTATATTTCCATTCTTGATTGCTTTTAGCTAAGGATGTACTTCTCACACAGAGAGGTCTGGACCTCTGTGGTTGTTCCTTTTAAACGTAATCACAGAAACGATCTCTAAAACCAGACAGATAAATGCCATACAGGGCAATCTGCTTTCACATTGTTTCCCTGACTAAAGGGATTGTACACTCATAACACTGACTAGCTACTGACTGATTAGGAGACAATACAATTTTCTGACAACAAATATTCACTTAACCCTGGAAGGAATGTGAAAGAATGCACCCAAGACCACAACAGTCCCATGTGAACTGCACTTAAGATTTGAGGAAATTATATGACAGGTCCAGAGAAGCTGGCATTTACTTTATTAATTCACTCCCCTCTGATTTTTATGCTTTCTGTATAACACTTATAAACCAGGTATCTCAAACTCCATATAAGGTACAGTTCTACGTAGTAATACTTTCTACTGACCTCTTAAGAGGTTAACACCAGAACAGCAAAATTGCCCAAAGATGAGCAATGGAGAAACACAAAATATGGTCAAAGTAGAAATACGAATGTTCTCTTACCATCTCACATTTTTAAAGGCAGCCTTGATAAGCAGGAGCACTGCAATGGTAAGCAAGTATGAGGTGGGCAACTGATCTACCTTAACTGGATTAATTTCAGTCACACACTGCAGTAGTTATCTTTGTCCTTCCAGCTGCATCAGCCTTTGTCCTCACCACCAACTATAGCCTTTAGACATGAAATATGACCCCCCAAACTCCAAATCCAAAACACTTAGACCCATTAAAGGTTTCCCCTTTTCTTCTATTAAGAACAAAGAACACATTACATTTTTCTATGTGAAGTATGCTATTAAATAATAGCTTGTACACTAATTAAAGCAAATGTAATTGTGAGAACACACTGACATTGTTAAAGTAAATTACCCAATTCGTTAATAGTTTCATTTCAAGTGACCTTAATTGTATTAATTGTGATATTGAGCAAATTAAATTGAAGAGTATTAAATGCATTGTTCCAGTCCATCCTTAGAGGATCAACTTTCTCATTACATCAATGAAATGGGAATACTACCTACTATGCTCTTCAAAACTTATGTCAGAATGTGGTGTAAGCTATAACTTCGAGTGAAAATTTCTGGCAGGTTAGAAACAGTTAACCTTGTTATCCTGTTTCAATGTAGTATAAAGCTCAAGCATTCAGAAATAAATAAAATAGTCTCTCTGATGCAATACACAGGCAGAAGGTAGAAGAACAAAGTTTCTGAAATGTCTCTTCATATATTCAGGGTTTATAAAGTCTCTGCTGGAGACAAAAAATATGTAAGATTTATCGGTTTCTCTCATAAAGATCCCTACTTCAGAGGGAATCATTCAAAAATATTGTTAAAATAAAATGAACAATATCACAAAGATTCTTAGAACTGAAAATGTAGCAATATACCATCATGTTACTATAGTCAAAAGCAAACATAACAATGCACATATACATACATACATGTAAATCAAAATACAACCAGATCCAAAAGGTAAGACCAAATTTAAAATTTCTTTAAGGAACTAAAAATCTTCCATTTGAAGTATCAGACTGCAAAAGTGAGAATCCCTGCCACAAACGTCTTGCCAACTATTAAAAATGCTATTTAAGAAAGTATATGTGAGTGCATATATGGAATGCACATGTTTCTGTCTTGAAAACAAATCAGACACAACGAAAAATCAACCATCAGAAAAAGACTGAAATACTATCTTATCTGGGTTTTTTGGAATATGTTAAAGGGATAGAAAAAAGGATCCTGACTGTCAATTACTGAGTATTTTAAACTTGCAAACAAGCACATTTTCATGACTCATCATAACTCAAGATTCAAAGTCCCTCAGTTACACAAAATTTGGAGTGCTATGAACGCCCAGATCCTTTTTCAAATGACACTTACCTCATCTGTAATGCTCTACTTTTATTTGTTCAGCTAGGTAATTGTCTCCTGCCTAGCATCTGCAACATTAATCCTCGCAGCTGTTCCTACTGAACCATGTCTTATTCTTCTCAGACCACTTCTCCAAAATCTCAATACTACTTTGAATTGTACATCTGCCCTCCACTGTGCCAAAAGCCCTGTCCCAAATAAACCACGTATTGTCTCTACACCTTAATTGAGATTTTAATAAAAGCACTAAGCACTCCTAGACTCAATCAAAAAAATTCTGGAATCCCATCAAATACATCCTTCCAAGCTGACGGCAAATGAACAAGAAGTAGTCTACGCACACAGTTTTCCAACAAGCTATACTTAACAGCAATTCATGTGTTTCTGAGATTTCTTTCATTTTATGAAAATGTCTTGTGAGAGTATTTCAAAACTCCAGCTGGACGTGACATCTCCTGGTTCTCCATCAAGTTTTGGTATCAGTTGCATATACTAAAAATACAATACTTCACACAGATTAACAAATCTGACTAGTTTTATGATTAAATATTTATTTTCAGCATCCTTACAGTGACATGCTTTATTTTTATTGCTTCATCTCAGTGAAGACTTCTAGCACTTTGCTTCCAAGGTAACGCTTAAAGCATTCAGCACAGCTTCAAAAACCAATTCAGATGTCCTGATATTCTACAATATTGCATAGAACATCTCCAACTCATGGACCACCTCTCCTCTATATTTCTATGACATAGGATGCAGAAGACTTTAGACACAGATTTTCTCCAAGTTGATTCTTTATCATGCCTGAAACTTGAGGTCGAGTTGAAAAACCTTGTCTTGAAATAGTTTTATGAAGACAAAGATGGACAGACTTCATGGACAAGAACAACTGCATACTTCGATGCCCAAAGACCTAACAGCATCTCAGCATATGCTTGATTTAAGATGAAGTATTAAAACTTCAAAGACTTATTTTGGATATATAAAGTTTCAAATTAAAATGCAGTATGTGTTTCACAGTAAAAAAACCTATGAAGATGAAATGGATGCTTTATATAAAATATTTACATAGATAGAACATAAAAAATGTACCATAGTTGGTAACCTTTATGACTTGGGGAACCATGTATTTACATATCTTTATCTTCGCATGTGCGTATGTGTGTGTTGTGTATATATTTTTAACAGTTGACAGCTGTTTTAGAGCATACAGAGATGCCAAGCTGAATGAGGGTCTTGATTACTTCAAGATTAGCTATCTAAAGTTTCTATTCATTTTAAGTGTTGTTAGTGCGAAGAGTCATTAGTCACTTCCTTGTCTCATAGAACATCAGCATACATTTACATTGTTAATGAACATTTGGGGTAAATGAATTAATGGCACTTTTAAACATCAATTCAATACTAATAACTTTGTATGTCATAGAAATGTTAAGGTTGGGATAAAAATGAGAAACCTTTTCAGTCAAGGTAACTAATCGCTTCTGGGCACAATAAAGCATAAAATTAATTTACAATGTAGTTTTTTTTTTTCTAACGGGGTAAAAAATCTTGTTTTTTCTTAAAACAGAGTTGAGAGAATTACCAGTATTTTTTTAAGGAAAAAAAATCAGAAGAAATGCTTATATTTTTCTTGATTGGGGTAGACTAGAATCAAGCTACATTTCCTCTGGAAAACGGGTATTATTTTAGCTTATTGCAAAAAGATCATTTTCAAGTTTCTAAAAATATGTACAAAAATGCATTTAGTTTATCAAACTAAAATGGCTCCATATCGTTAAGATGTCAAATATATTAGAAGAGGAACACTGACCTAGAAAAGCTATTTCATTTAATCATCAGGTTTTAAAATACTTTCCCCTAGATGTTCATTCTCATTTTCTAACATTGAAAAGGCTTTATAAACCAATGAAAGAAAAAAAAAAGAATTAGCTCAAAGGGACAATGAAGTTTTACCAATGTATTTTAAAACAAAACGTCAGCTTCTTATAAACTGAAGTAATAAACCTGACTAAGCAAAACTTGACATAGCTTTTTTGGTAAGCACTAGTAAAGGGAAGATTTATAGACAGATACACCCACACAGAGTAGTCGATCTGGGTGAGGGACTTAAGAAATGTGACAAAGTTGTTTCAACTCTGTAATTTAAAATAAATTTTTTATTTTGCCCTCCTGGTACATGTGTTCAATGACTGGAAAATTACAGGTAGTTAAGGTGCCACTGTGTATAACTGAGTACTTGAGGAATGTTTTCATGACAAGGACGAGCTTTCTCGTTAAGCTTATCACTTTCTTCAAACCAACTATACTGTCACTACTCACAAATAAGTAGAAAAGACAAGCAACACAGACATGCATTGCATTATGCAAGCAGTTTGTTCTCACTGTTCATTAGAGTCTTCCACATACTGCATTTAATTAATTTACTTTAGGTTACACAGTAATTTTTACCTTTTCAGCCTGTTCATTCTATCTCAGCTTCCTTCTTTAAAAAATTAAGAATATAGGTGCTGAGTCAAATATAATAAGAAAAGGAAAACTGGCCTTTTTATTTTCATGATCTCACACAGAATAACGTACTGAACTTCACTGCAGAATTAAAAAAAAGAACACAAAAATCCCCTAAAAGGTATGCAGTGTAAGAGCCTATGCTTCAGAAAGTAACATAAAGCCATGCTGCATTTCAGTATTCTTATGCTGAAGTCAGTGTTTGGTTTATGATTAAAAAAGGATGACAGCGCATTAAACATTTGGCTAATGTTTCTGTCTGTAATTGAAAGTTGACTTTTCTGTGGTTTTCATTAGTGTCAGTGTTCTGCACATACTCTGTGAAATGTTCTTTAAGTTGCCCTGTTCAACTTCATGAGAGAATTAAACAAATGAAGACAGGTACAGTTGTCATAACACATTTATATAAGGTTTCTAGGTATAAAGTAAAAAAGGTACAGAAATACAAAACTCACCTTCCTCTGGCTTGTTCAAATAACTCTGCAAGGGATCAATGCCTATTTCTTGTTCCTCTGTTTGCAAAGGGTGGCTGGTTTCAGACACAGAATGATACATATTGGCAGTAGTAAATTCCAATCGAAGAGTATTTATCTGGAGGAAAAAAACCAACAAACACTTCAGTGTTTCTTTAGCTATTTTTCAATCACACAACTCAGTAGAAAAATGCTTAAAACCTTTCCTTATTTTCCAGGTGTAACACCACCACTAGCTGTCTAACAGAGGATAAATAGTGTTTCCATTCAAATGTTCATTATTCAGAGGCCAAAAGAATTGTCACAGTACCTCCAACTATCACACTGCAAGTAAAAGTCCAAGAGTGGTTTTGACAGACTGTAAAATGGGGAAAGAGCTTCTTTCCTTCCTTTTTCTAGCTTCCCCAACTCATGTCTTAGTCCAGTTCCAGGAAGAATTGATAGTAGTCCTCTTCTGGACACAGGACCTACTATCCTAGAAAAACTTCCTTTTTAGCACTTTTTCAGAAATCATATATCAAGTGTAAGACAACAGACAGAGGGACACAAGCACAGGCAAAAAGGGAGAATATTGCTGACTGGTATGATGGCTGATTTTGGTTTTAATAAGATTTGTATTAGCTTTCTGGAAAGATGATGTTAAGGAAGCATTTGAAGAAACATAATCAGCTAGCTAGTGAGTATTTACAATGAAGTTCTTCCAAAAATGAAAGGTAAAAGGGGAGAAAGCATAAAACTGAAACCCCAGGAAGTAGTTGACATGGGTTCATCATCACAAGCTGCTGAACGGCATTCACAACACTACCACGTAAGTGAACAAGAACTATGTTAGAAGTTCATGTTGAGGAGTATTGGAAGCTAATATTGGCTGCAAAGAGTAAGAGGATGCCAATAAAAGGTTGAAAAGCAGACAGTGTTATAGTCAGAGCAGTAAGAAGAAAAAATGACCTTTCCAGTGCATTAACAGCACAAGGGTACATTTATCAAGACTTCATTTTGGTCACTGTACAGCGATTTATTAACTTGCTGTTAATAAAACACAAAAGACCTATGCCAGCCAAATAGATTTGATTCGCCCAAGCACACTAAGTAGCCACCTGCAATCGCCTGCTTAGTTTTAAATATCACTTACTCTACCTGCTTAGTTTACAAGTACCGTAACTTTCTAACTCCAAGAAAATTATATTTAAAAATAAATATGCAAAGACAAATACAAAGAGGTATGCACCTACGCTTTCAGGACTGGTATATTATCTCTATGGAAATCACTTCAACTACGCTTTTCCTTCAGTTCTTACAAGGCACAGCATTGACCATATATGCTTTATACCTCCAGTTTACTATCAGTAAATGAAGGGGGACAGGGATTCTTAAGACCTTTCTGCTTTTATACATTATTCATCTGCTTCATTTTCCTACAAATTTATGTAAAATGTAAAAAACCAAAACCCCAAAACCTTCCACCACCCCCCCCAAACCAAACCCAAACCACTAAATAATAAAAAAAAACCTACTTGGGCTAATGTTAGGCATTTCCTTCAAACCAATGCACCCAGACTGTTTCCAAAAGGATGCTCTCTCAGCTGTATCCCCTGAGGGTTTTGTCCTTCATCTGCCCTGTCACCTGTGTTAATGTGGTGCTGAAATGATCACACCATCATCTCTCCCTACTTTTAGACAGAAGAGAATATCTGAAGCTCTTGCGAGCAAGGAGCTAGTAACTGAGGGAAGGTAGGACTAGCAGCTTTTGCAGTGATACACCTTTATGTAAATTATTGCAATCATATGATAAAACACACCACTAAAACACAGAACTGCCTTGAACAACTCTTCGTACTAGCTCGACAAAACATATTATGAACACAAGTACACATCATGTGTTTCCTATGTAATTTCTAAACCATAATAATGAAAAATGCATGAACGGAAACTCCAAGAAAAATGTTTAGAAATTTGCTATCCACTTAAAACACATTTTAATATTTACCTGCAGCTGTACAGCTACATAATATAGAGAAGTGTTTAGAACTACCTCATACCTTGAATAAATAAATCAGAAACTTGAAAGAATTTACTTAAAAAAACCAAACCAAAACAAACAAAACACAAGGAACAACTTTGCAGAAAGATGTGTTTATAGTTTTCTTTTGCTGGAATTTTAGTTGCTGTTCTTGTTCCCCTTGCTATGTCATTGTAATAATTGTAAATTCTTACAATGTAAATTGTAAATTTATAATTGTAAAGCTCTGTAAGTGTTCCAGGCCAGATGGGGGCTTGGAACTAGATGATTTTTAAGGTCCCTTCCAACCCAAATCATTCTATAGTTCTGTGATTGTAATCATCTCTCTACTTACCTGTTGATTTTGTCTTCACAAAAATTACAAGTTTATTTTGAACTGTGCTGCTAGAGTTTAACTTTTCATTTATGGCCCTTCACACATTGCTACATGATCTGACCAAGGGACAACCCTAAGTGCCTTTCAAATTGAGAACCAGGCACAAAATGACCCTACCAGCCCTTGTAGTTTTAGCAGCCACCACTTAGGACACAATATGCTTCAGACATACATTGGCCTATGTCCATAACACAGTATGAAATTAGCTCTAGTAAATTTGTTTTTCTGTATTCTTCTGTTCTGTATCCACCTTTTCTTTTTTTAAATAGTCCCCAAATGCCATGCCTTTACAACATATAATAGTCATAATTTACTTTACAGACAGAGCAGTTTTAAACGGCTGAATAGATTTACTTTTGATACTTACAGAGTGATTTAATCAGTTACTTGTGTTTGTTTACAGATACATTTGATTAGTGTTTAAAAAAAATCACTACCTATTAGTCTTGTCACTCCTTAGTCCAAGCAATTTTCTCTGCAGTTTTATACTTAAGTTCTTTTCAGCTCTTTGAACAAAGAAAAAAGAGAACTATTAAACAATTATGATTACACTTGGGATCTTACTCTGAGACAGATTAATTCTTTACAGGTTTGTGGTTGATCTGTAATGGCCTATAACACATTGTTCATATTAAATAAGATGCAATTTAAAAACATTCTCAATACAAAACAATAAAAATGTTATAAAAATCTAGAATTCAATTATTAGATTACAACACTTGATGATCCTGGCTATCTAGTTACACCCTAACATCTCAGTCAGAGCTAACAGTGATTCTTTTATCTAGTCCTGCTTCTTTTTTTCCCTCCAGAGATGAAGGGCTGAAAACTCCAAAGACCAGGCACCCTTCCCAGCACTAGGAGTTCAACCATTCTTTAATATATATGAAAAAGTAATTAAGGCTGTGTATGAAATATTTATGTAGTTAGGGGAATGAAAAGGGACACTAATCTACCCATGAGTCCAAGGAAAAGACAGGCATATAAACTCCGTGTCTGGCTGCTCTCCTTAGGTCGGCAAACAGGGAGAGCCCTCACACACCACCAAGGACAGCATTCAGGTGTGCTCCTCACTGACCAACGCATGTGGTGTGAATCCAATCTGCTTTCCAGTGAAAGCATCTTATCATTCGTCTGTGATCCGTCAGCCCAGGTTCTCAATGCAGACACCAAAAAACCATTGAAGGACAGGCTTGTGGACTATGTTTAAGATGTGAAGAGTATTCATACTGTTCGGGCAAAACTAAAAAATATAATCAGTCTCATGAAGGTATAACTGAGAAGACGAAAAAGAATTAGGCAATTCTGAGCTTCTACAACATCCATTTCCCCTCTCTTCCCATACCCCAGTGGTAAAATGAAAGGAGAGGAACTGCAGGTTTGAGGAGGTATTTAGGACCAGGGCAGAAAACCTGCACAAATTGCAGCACTTGTCCCACACTCGCTGTCCGATAATCCCTCACCCCCAGACAATCAAGTACAATACCAAAACATTTTATGCTTAAAGAAAGGAAAACAAGAACCCACTAACTTTTGACGAAGAAGCTGAACAACGTTGTTTAATTTTGGATACGCTAAAAATAAAAATCAGTTTATATCCATACCAGCAAAGCTACCAGAATATGACATTTCTGAAAACTACTGAAGCTACCAAAGTATTTAAATAATACTTTGCATTCATTCTATTAGACTGTATCATCCACCTTCTCAAAATTATCTTTGGGCCTTTATTTCATGCCATATAGCAAAGTTTACCATTTTAATTACTTAAATTGATGACAAGTAGAGGAAATACTTGTTTAGCTAAGTGATAAATTAGCTGCCCTGTGAAGTCAAATTGATTAAAACGACCTGACTAAAAGCAAATGTCTGATGTGGTAATGGTCTTATGAATGTTTTGTTAAGTTTGACAGCATCATGTTATAAGGGTTCACAACTCTGCCCCTCATTTGCAGCTTATGAAGTAATCAAGCATGTTAGCATACAAAAATGAGGACTCTCCAGAATGTGAAAACATTTTAAAGTAGATAAGGAATTGAGTATTAGGAGAATAAACATACATCGTGCTTATTTAAAGCAATGAAGTATAGATGACTTGCAAATAATCTAGAAACAGTTCCAGACCCTGGGTTTTCTTTCATTGGCCAAATTCTCCTGGACCTTAAAATACTCCTCCTAAAGTGGGAAAGAAAAGAAAAATAAAAAGAAAGAAAAAAAGTCATGCTTTCTCTGAATAGAGCGTGAGCAGGAAACAGTCTCGAGCATGACTTTTGGAACATGAGGACCATTTGGTATGTTTCAAGCTGGATAATTTTAATAGGCATTTTTTAAAATGTGGTCGCAATCTGTAATATTCACTGCTTTATTCTTTGCTCCATGAGTGATTCTTACTCAGGTCACAGAGAACACCAACCTCATAGCACTGAGCTCTTCACTTGAGCTCTTTACTACCACCACCTCCATTTAAATACAGAAGATACTAGTTCAGGTGCTCCAAAAATAACAACAACCCAACAAACTCCCACCAAAACCAAAGACTCCCTCTCCAACTCCCAGTTTAAAACTAGCTAGCATCTCTATTTGGCCACTTCCACAGGTTGCCACTGCTCACTGAAGAAACAGGTCTTAGGAGGAGCACTTACTAACTCAGGAGTGCACAATTTGACAAACTTTGGATAGCATAAAGCAAGTCTGTTTTCTTTTATAAAATGTATCA